CCACCCACCCACCCACCCACCCACCTACCCACCCACCCACCCACCCACCGTGTCAATGTCGGGTCGGTTGTCCTCCATAATCCGCAGGGCCGTTCGGTACGTGGCTATGGCCTCCACCACATCGTTCTGCAGAGGTAGGAAAAGGCGGGGGAGGGAGATCAGGGGAAAAAAAGGCCGTTATTTCCCAACGTTCATACATACATGTACATCTCTATATGTACATACATATATACGTATATAACACATACATAATACATAACTAGCCTACATATGTCGCGGAGGCGACCCGCCGTGACCCGCCGCGGCAAAGTTCAAAATCGCCGATCACGGCGGCGGCCAAGTGGGCGGCGGCCGCAAGACACCCCAACCTGCCCAGGCACATGTTTTCAAGGGGAGCATACCCATAGATACATACATACATACATACATACATGCACACCTGGATTATTAGGAGCGCGGACAGTCCGTTGATGGCGGCAATGAGCTGCCTCTGAGCCTCCTCGGCTTCCAACTTGGCGCGGGTGACCTGGGTGCCGGTACCGCAGAGAGGGGGGAAAGGGGGATTCTTCCCCTTTAGGAAACCCTAAAACCCTAACCCCCCTCTTCCCCGGGGGGGAAAGAGGGGGGCCCATCATACCCCACTACAAATCCCCACCAAATAATAGTTCCTTCGTCCCCAGCGGAGCTTGGGTGTGGTGCGGTGTGGTGTGGTTGTGGTGTACAAACCCGACATACATACACACATCAAATCCGCCTGCCGGCTCCTCGGGTGTTTGAGGAGTGATGAAATGGGAGGTGGCCCCCCATCATATGGACGGTGTAGGACGTGATAATATCAACTTGCGAGCTGACCAGGAACTAAGTTGATGCGCCGTTGATCCGCTAGATTTGGTTGGATGCTGGTGGTGAGTTGCCGAACCCAACGAATACATTCTGAAGTCGGATGGGGTGACGGATTAGGGTGCCCCTCTAGCAGGGGAGAGCAGGGACTGCCCCGGGAAAGGGGGCCGCTGGCGAAGTTAACCACCCTGTAACAACATACACACATACGTACCTAGGCGCTACCCACCCCCACCCCCCGCCCCCTTGCAGGTCCCGCTCCCCGGACTGCAGGGGCTGCGGCCCCGGCAGCGGCTCCGCGACGACGCAGCTCAGTTACCCAGTTACCTCCTTACCAGGACTGCGAGGATGTCGTTCATAGTCATGGGGCCGTTGTGGTGGCCGCCGTGGGAGTGCGGGTGGTGCGGCTGCCCAGGTACAGTCAGCGTGCGGATGCCGCCTGCCCCCACCTGCACGGGGGGGGGGAGGTGGGGAGGTGGGGAGGTGGTCATGATGTCGCCGTGATGCCGAGGAGGAGTGGGGGGGAGGGGAGGAGTGGGGGGGAGGGGAGGGTGCAGCACGGGGAGGAAGGAGTTGTGATGAGTGGCTACTTGTATTATGATGGCCCCCTCCCCTGCCCACCAGCCCACCAGCACATCTCCCCTACCAGCCAAAGCACCCCACCCTCTGCACCCCCCGGCACACAATGTCACCCCCGCACCCTCCGCATTCCCCCCCTACACACCTACGCACCTACACACACTCAGACCACCTCGGCACACAGCACCTGCCTGTGGGTGACAGCACGCCTGACGCAGCTTCAGAAGCGGCCCCAGCAGCTTACGAGCCTCATGGGGCGCCAACGGCCGATCCAACGACGACGCCATCGCCTCAAGCGCCTTACGCGGGCCTTCAAGTCTGGGCGGGCTGCCAGCCCGAACACCCCCGCCGCCACCCCCGCCGCCGCGACCGTGCTCTTCTCCGCCCTCCTCCACCCCGCCTGCATTCACCGTCGTACCCTGGCCGCCGCCCCCTTCTCCGGCGGCGGCGGCGGCGGCCGCTTCCTCTTCCGCACCTCGACGACGCCACAGCTCCCAACGCTGCCGCTGAATATCATGCAGCTCCCGGAGAGGGTCGTCAACACCGCGGGGGGTCGTCAACACTGGCGGCGGTGCCCCACACAAGGGGTGGTGGTCGCCCTGCTCTGGCCCCTGCTGGCTCCCAAGCTGTCCCTGCAGGTGCAGCTGCTGCTGCGTCTGGCTCGAGCCTGTCGCCGGTTCAGATGCCCCCGGCGCTAGCGGCCTCCGCCCGGCTTCCCGCTGCTCTTCTACTACTCGCCGCCCCGGCTGATCCCCCTCACCCACATCAGCCTCTGCTGCTGTGGCCTCCGTCATCTGGTCTTGTTGCTGATCTTGCTGCTCCTCCGTGCCGTACCCTAGCAGCCTGCCTGACTCCATGGCCGCCACCACTCTGGGTGGTAGTACGGCGCGGGCCTTGGTGGCGCAGTCCTGAAAGGGAGGACAGGACAGGGAGGGAGTATGTATGTATGTACACCACCGCGCCTCTCCCCTCTCTTCGGGACCGACCCCAGGTTGGATTTTCCCCCGCTCCCACTCGCCAATACACATAACACACCACACGCGCACGTCGTAAGCCAGCACTTCACGCATTGGAGATCCACCGAGCCGAACACGTGCGCCGTCCTCCGCAAGCCCCTTTACTTGGCGACGCAGATCATTGATACACACACGCATACATACATGCACATACAAATACACACAAAATAAATACACACACGCAGCTTCCCCATCCCTTTACCCCCCACCTGATGCCGCCGGTTATAGAAGTGCAGCTCCACTGCATTCAGCCTCAGATGGCGGAGGTGGGTGCTCTGAGGCGGCAAACCCAGCTCCGACTCCACATCCCGCTTGGCGCTGCGCCACATCAACCCACCATCACCACCACCACCGCCACCGCCGCCACTGCCTGCTGCGCAGTCGCCTACAGCCCTACTGGGTCGCAGCAGGTGCAGCAGCAGGCGGCGGCCCTCCGGGTCACACGCCTCCGCGGGTCGCTGCACGCAGCGGCTCCACCACCTCCGCTCAGTCCAGGGACGGACACCCAGGAAGGCCAACAGGCCGTACACGTCCTCCAGTCCGCGGCTGATGGGAGTGCCGGTGACGCACCACCTGCCAGGGGAGGGGTGAAGGGAGGGGAGGGAGGGGCAGGTAGGGAAGGGGGCGATGCCGCCGCCGCAACAGAAGACTGAATGAAGCTCCTTTTGCTGCATATTCCTTCGCTGGACTGACTCGTACGACTCCCATTCATTGTTTTCCAGTGCAGTGCAGTGCAGTGCCAAAAAGCCCTCAAATATTCGAAGTAAAACCCTCCCCTCCCCTCCCCTCACCTCACCTGTGCACGGTGTCCAGTTTGAGCGCCATCTCCGCGGCCTTCGCGGTGCTGCTCTCCACCATCTGGGCCTCGTCCAGCACCACCCGCCACCAGCGGAGGCGAGTGAGCGGCGTGGGGACCACCTCGTACCTGCGGGGGCGGTGGGGGGAGGAGGAAGGGAAGGGGGCGGCGAGGGTGCCGCGCCGGGGGGGGTGCCGTGCCCACCACTCGAATGAAAGGAACGGACCCGCACTGAGGGAAGTGAACCAACATGGCCAACATGCACCCGCAGAGGTTGAGGTCTCGCCTATACAGCAAGCTGGGGGTGCTACAGCAACAGCAACAGCAGCCGCAGGAGTACAGTAGCAGTAGCAGTAGCAGTAGCAGTAGCAGCAGTAGCAGCTCTAGAGGGTCAGACGAACCACTGGCGAAAATGAAACAGATACCAGAGATATAGTCCAGGAGAAGACAAATACTGCATTTCAGGAATATTTACACTGACCAGTGAGTAGTTGTCGTCTTGGCGGCGACGTTGGGCTAGGTTGCGAGACGAGTTACTTACTAGCCAGCAAGTCTTACTTATTAGCCGGCAAGTCCGAAGTCCAAAGAATTCAGAAATCGAAAACATCTAAAAAATCCCTACCTAGCTGCCGATATGAAAGGAAACTCTAAAACCGTACTGGTGCAGCTCTCAGGGGGGGCCTTACCGCTTGCCGTGTCGTAGGCTGCGTTCCTGCCCCTCCGGATCCGGCTGGCGAGCCACATCCCGCTTGAGCACATCGTAGGTGGTCAGCACCACGTCAGCCGCCGCCAGCTGGGCCGCACTGACCACCTGCACGGGGGGGGGTGTCGGCACAGCGCCGGGTCACGGCGACAGACGGGTGACAGACAAACACACAAGACAGACCTCGAGGTGGCATCCACCCGCGCGGATACATTCCCGGTCCCGGAAACACCTACCACCACACACATACACAGAGACAGACAGACAGACAGACAATAATTGCAAACAATAAGCAAACAATACAGACGGACAGACAGACAGGGTCACCAGTCAAAGGCAGCCCACCAGATTGTGAATGCCCCCACAAGCGGTTATATACAACGGCGGACAGGACAGGCTGAGGTGCCGACATGTGTGTCTGTATGTGTGTGCTGCTGTCTGTATGTGTATGTGTATGTGTATGTGTATGCGTATGTGTATGTGTATGTGTAGTCTCTAACCCCCCTAATTTATGGATGCAGCATTAATACTCCAGGCTAGCACGCTACGTTCAAGTACGCTACTGCAAACGCAGCCGCAACAGCCCGAATCGTCCCCCATGCGAAGCGAACCGCGAAAAAAGCCCGGAGCAAGAATCTCAGGTCCATCATCTCAAGCCTTGGGATGTGGCTCCCTCCCATCCACACGGGCAGATCCCACCACCCATCTACCAACCATGGACTCCGCCACATCGGCCTCCACAACACTGAAATTGCCGTCCCCGTCCACTCCTCGGTCCGCAGGGCCCCGCAGGCCACCGGGTGCCGCTGCAGTCCCACACGTCACGGCAGTGCCGCCCACACGGCCAGGGGTGAAGGTGCCCGAGCAGATCAAGGCGCCCGAGCCGCTGACGCCCGGCTGAGTTTGACCGCCGTACACCACAACCCGCAACGCTCCAGGGTGCACGTGCCGCCGAATCTCGTCGTACCATTGTTGCAGGATGGCTGACGGTACGACAATCAGGGTTGCTCCGCATGGCTCCGAAACCTGCACAGTCCGTGGTATGGCGCGTTGCATGGAGCATGGGTCAACTAAACAGCCAACTCAGAAACGAAGCGCGGAGAGCCGACACGTGTGCATACGAGCTCCTGGACAAAACATTTTCAAGCAGCGGCTACGGCGGCGGCTGTGGCGGCTGTGGCGGCAGTGTACTGCGTGGATTTTCCGTAATGTACTGCGCCCGACATTATGGTGGAGGAAACGAACGGAGGAACGTCAGACAGACAGACAGACAAAGAGAGCGAGCCAGTCAACTCCCCCCTCCCCCTCGGCAGCCCACCCCACTCCCCCCTCACCGGCGCCAGCGCACGGGCCCTCAGACACCGGCTGCACACCCAGGCGGCACTGCGCTGCGGCGACCTCTTCACGCCCACGCAGGCGCCGTGCATCCAGGCATTGCAGCCCTCACACAGGATCCACAACCCCTCGTACTCCTCCACATCGGGGTCGTGGGGGTCATCTGCCCTGACGCCGCACGGGCAGTCAACACGTTCCGGAAGCCGCTGGCGGGCGGCTGCCACTGCGGCTGCGGGCGATGTGGGTTGCACGGTACCCCCTACCTGAGGGAGGGAGGGAGGGAGGGAGGGAGGGAGGGACACCGCGCCAGGGAGGGGAACAGG